TTTAAGTATACTCAGAAAAAAGTAATGAAAAAAAAAATTGAAAGAAAAAAACACTTTAAAACCCAACAGTTTTTAAGTATACTCAAAAAAAAGTGATAAAAGTGAAAAAACTGTAAATTTTTGCACATAATTTTTCTGTATTTTTTAAACATTTCAGTCATTAACTCAGAAACTGTTAATTAAACCGCAGGAAGAAAGAGCCTGCAATGGCAGCATTTGAGATAAAGGGCAGGTGGTTAATTATTAAAAGTAAGACACGAAACAAAAATATCATAAAACCTTGGGTAGGTAGGTTAAAAGCGTAGCTACTTTTAAAAAACTGAATTGACCTCACAGAGGCAGATAGGGAAATTTTGGAAAGTAAAGATAGCTGGTTGAATGACAATCTTATTGACGCAGGGCAAAAGTTAATTTGTATAGCTCTTCTTAACCATGAAACTTACCAATCAGTATTAAACTGCCAGAAAAAGAAATTCACATATTTCCCAGTTTCTGGCGACCACCTTCAAATATTGTACGACGGTAGTTCTCATTGGCTATTAGCGTTTGCTTCAAATGGCAGGGTTCAAGTGTGCGATAGCCTGCGCTCTAACTTAACATCGATTTCAAAAGAATGTTAAAAATCCCTCTTTCAACCACTTGTGAAGAATGGAAAGCTTGAAATAACATTTCTTCCCGTTGATAAGCAAATTGTTTCAATTGTGGTGTCTTTGCTCTGGGTCCCCTCTTAATGTTCGATTTGTTGTGAATGAAATGCGTACTTTCTATATAAAATGTTTGACAGACGTTCACTTATATCTTTTTCCAACACTTGAAAAGACTCTCGATGTTTTATGCAATAAACCTAAACTTTTCATGATTTGATTCAAAACTCAAAATGGACTTTTCACTTGTATGTGATTTTATAAATTTGTTTATAACCATTGCAAAGCAAATCGGTAACCAATACTATTTTCGTAATATTTAAACATTTTTTTATGTAGGTAGTGGTGTAGTGGTAAGATCGCTTGCTTTGTCAGCGAGAGGTTCGGAGTTCGACTCCCACCACGTCCCTAGAAGTACCGCGCTCAACTTAATTTCTCCGCGCAGACAACACTGATATTTTACACTTTAGGAACATTTTTTAAAAATATATATATAATCTAATGATATATTCATAAAAGCACGTTTACATATTTTTCCATGTTATTTAATATAAAAATAGAAAAAAAATCTTCAAGTGAAGTCCTTTTCTTGTAAACCCCCTCACTCCCACTTTGTCTCTTTTTATCCCAACCGCCTCCCTCCATTTTGCAATATGTTCTTTATGGTTGACCCCTTGAGCAATTCATATATCATTTTTTAAAGAAAAATAACGAATAAAAAAAAAAGTAAAACTTCATTCCATTAAACTTATTCATTTTTACTAATTTCTATGTTCAAAATATTTTATATTTCTACTAAATATTAAAAGTTTAGTTATTTCTCTAACATCAATTGAAAATAAAATCATTAAAAAAAATTTGATTTCATCAAACAAAATATTATTGGAGTCTTAATTTACCATTTTTTTTACTTTCATCAATAATTTATTTGTGTCCACAGTTATACTTTTAATTCTCTTTCATTAAATCTTCGTTTACTTTTTATTTAATAAAACTAATTAAACCAGTGAACTGTAAATTGTTGACTGATGATATGGGATCTTGTAAGATGTCTTTTGTAAAAGTGTTATCCTTCAAATAGATCTTTTATGTGGAGTATTTTTACTTGACCACCTTAGCTAAAAAAATAAAACTTCCATCTATATCATTATTTTTAATTCCTTGGTGATAATTTTAATGCATTTATAGTCTCTTCACAAAATACTTTTAACATGGATAAACTTTTTGTCTAACAATTAGTTTAGGGTTAGCAGCAACACAAGTCAGCTTAGACATTTTAACTAGCTGACTAACTCAATTTCAGCAGACTTTTCAATTATCTAATTGTTTCGTATACACTTTAATACATGCATAAAATCAAAAAGTAAAAAAATGCCATCAGATGTAAACCATAGAGATAAGCAATCAAATCGTTTTAAAAAAACGCTTGATTTACTCTATTGTAATCATTTGTCTTCTTAATTTGGTTGATTAGGATATTAATTTGATTGTATACAAAATCAAAATTATTTACTGGTAACATTCTTACTATAAATTTTGTTTCCTCATAAAAACATACAACCACGAAAGCAAACATAGTTGTTGCAAAACTTGATTCATTGTTTACTGCTTTATGGTTCACATCAAAAATCTTTAAAAGAAGGTGATCTGGTTAAAATATTTGCTTTACCAAACAAATATTCCCATCATAAGTTAGCATAGGTTTAAAATAAACTTCATCTAATAACATACAGTTTTTTTGACTATTTTGTTGAGTTTTAAAAAAACACTACAAATAAAAGTGTGAAACTTTTGAAGTTATTAGTGTCAGGAAGATAAAAATCATATCTAATTGATCATATAAACTATGTGACCGTGCAAAATGTTCTAAAGCTCAAACAATAACTTTAGGTGAATATTTTTGCTCAAAATTGTTACTTGAGTTCAACTTATGCATTCAACTTGCTGACATAAATTTGTTTTTTTTTTCTGACATCTTAAAAGAAATCAAATATCCAAATGATGTGACCAACTTTTGAACTTATAATTACAATTTTTAACTAATGAAGTAATATTGAATACAACTCCAGCATGATAGGTTTCACATGATAAACTATTAAATACTATTAGACACAATTTACTAATATTAGTATTGCTTTAATGCTCTTTTGATTGCAAGCAACATCTATTCAAAAAATAAATAAATATATAAGCTAAGTTAAGAAAGTTCATCTTCTTTTAATAGATAAGAAAGCTCATCTTCTTTTACTGATCTGAGAGACTCTCTAAGCTCTCTAAGAGAGCTTTTACCTATTAATGTTGTTCTTTTTCTAGTGGAAGAGATGGCACTAAACTCTAAATTAATTAACACACTAGGTGGATTTTGAGGATTTTCTTTTCCTTTTACTTTAATAGCTATAAAGTTTGATGGAAAATGTTTTGCATAAACTACAGTGTAATGTTTATATGGCATATTGTCTATTGGGAAAACGTTTATCCATCTCTGGCGCTCTTTACAATCTCCTAGAAGTTCTAGAAGTATTTGTCTTATCTTTTACTAAGTCATAGTTATAGTTACAACCAGTTTTCTGTGTATTTTCAACATATTTTTTTAGGCATTGTGCGGTGTTATTTCAGTTCACCCTGTAACGAAAGGATCTTTCAATTTCAAGAGATTGTTGGAATCCTAATTTATCTTTCCGCTCTTAATATTCTGGTAAATCTAAACTCGAATGGTTTAATTTACCGGGAAATTAAGACTTTCGAAGTCATAGTTTCCTGAGTCCCAATTTACCGCGACACCGGTGTAGCTCGAGTGGATAAAGCGTCGAACTTCCATTCAAGAAACTAGAGGTTCGACTCTTACCAATGGTGGCTACTTTTTTTATTTTTTTTTAATTATTTTAAAATACAAAATACTTTCAAAGTTTTATAAAGATTATACACAAACATATGTAACGTAAGAATATAAAGCACTCACAAAAGAAAAGATTTTAAGAAAGCTAAAAAAAAAACATCACCGGGAGAAAAAATTGTTGCGTATATACGATGATTGAGAACTTATGTTATTATTGTGCTCAGGTAATTAGTCCTAATAAGCTTCGGGTGGTCTAAAATAAAAGTTGTCTGAAACTTAATAAAGAAAAAACTATATTAAATTATTAAGAAAGTCCTGCTAATCAAGAAGGTGCTGCTGTGGGGGCAAAAAAAAAAGCCCGTGGCTAAAAAAAAAAACAACTTTTTTTTGATAATCAAAATCTTTTTTATTTTTTTACTATAAATATATGCTGCAGCTGTTCTTCAAAACGCCTTAATATGCTTATTACGTATTTCGAGAAAAACGCAATTAAAAAAAAGTTATTTAAAATTAACTCTTTGTTAAACGTTTTTTGAAACAAATAATTTTAATGAATCTTTTTCAGAAATCTTTGAAAATATGTATTTAATAATGTTTGTAGACATGTAAACTAGCTTATTTTGTAAAAAAGCCAAGAGTGATATTTTTTAACCTTAAGGTGTTTTGAAAAACGGCTGCAATATGGATGATACAACGAATATGTTAAAATGAGATAATTGGGCGCAAAATTTAAAAGCTATTGACAAAAGCCACTAAAACCAAAAAAATTAAAAATAATTGCTTGAAAATATTATTATAGTGAAAAATTTTATTTTAGTGAATATAGTAATTGTAGTTCAAAGTTTTATTATAGCACTTAAAAATTTTATTATGGCGCGTTGGTTTTTGCAAAGAAACGCTATATGTCCCGCGTGATCACGCACGTGTTAATCCTTTTTACGATTCTTGTTATATTTTACGAGGTCCTATGTTTATTTTAAAAAAGAAAAAGAGCCGCGTCTGAGAAACGTGTGTCACTTGTAAATGTATTGAAATATATTATTTCTTAACACGAGATTTCCTTTAAAATACAAACTAATTGTAATGTATCCAAGCAGATACAACATGGAGCCCACGTATTAAAATTGAACTAACTGTCGATGAAAAGGATTTCAGAAGATAAAGAAAGGATTTTAAACTAAAAGAATAAGTTATGTTAACTCTATTTATACTTTATTTTTTAATGTTAAAGAATTCTGTATTTGTGTTAATTAGTGAACGTTGATATACTTTAAGAATTAATACTATAAGCATATTTAATTTTTATTAACGAACGTAAACATTTTAGGAGTATTTATTTACATAATATTTACACAACTCAAAAGCATTTAGACATTTCCATTATTTTGACGTCATTTGATTTGCCATTTCATTATTTTTGAGTATTTTTAGTTGTGGTTATTATTGTTAAAAATAGCTCTAGTCAGTTCAGATACTAGACTATTGTCATTGTCAAATTATAGTTTGCTAATTTAGTCAGAATGTCAAACCTTCAATCCAGACGTAGACTCAGAACTGTTACTATTAAACTTTTATATAGACTTTTTGAAAAATCGTTTGAAACTTCATCTGTTAACTCTGATGAGCAATATCAAAATTTAGTTGACATTCGTGATACAATAAATGAAAAATTCACTAAAGTTAATCAACTAGACGAAGAAATTTCTTTACTTATTGAAGATGATGAAGAGCTACAACAGAATGCAGATACTTCCACAGACTTTATGCTCAAGTGTAAAAATGAACTTTCAGTTATCAACAAGCATTTACAAAAATACGACTCTAAAATAGATTCATCAAGTTTATCTTGCAATTCTAAAAATAGGAATGTCAAGCTTCCCATAATAAAACTAGAACCATTTGATGGAAAACCGGAAGACTGGGTATCATTTATAGAAAATTTTAATTGTACTGTTAACTATAATGAGGATTTATCTAACATTAAAAAAATGACCTACCTACGTAACTTACTTCAAGGACCAGCTCGAGCATCTATAACTGGACTTTCCGTGACAAATGAAAATTATCAAACTGCATTAGATATTCTTAAACGTAGATATGACAATAAACAAGCTCTCATTTCATCCCACATGCGTAAACTTTTATCATTGGAAAGCATCAATAGTATAAATAGAATTGAAAAGTTAAGAAAATTTTTTGACAGTTTAGAAATACAAGTTAGAAGCCTTGAAAATTTAGGTATCAGTAGTACTATGTATGGACCCCTACTCATTCCAATAATCTTAGAAAAAATTCCAGAAGAACTGACTTTAATAATCAACCGTCAATTTAATAACAATGATAACTGGGATGTTAAATCTATTATTGATCTTTTAACAAATGAATTATCTGCACGAGAACAAACCTTAACTAACTCATTTAATAAATCAGAACAATTTTTTACTGCTGAAACGCTTCACACTTGTACAAATAACAGAGAGCCATATCAAACTTATCTATCCAATTCATTCAACAGAGGATCACGTCATAATTTAAAACGAAATAATACAGACAAAGGTTCTTATTTTGAAAGAAATACTCCAAGAGATCTTCATAAATTGAACAAATGCCTTTTTTGTGAACAGCCTCACAAATCACAAAACTGCCGATCAATAACGAACATTCAATCAAGAAAGAAAATTATCAGTGATAAAAAAACTTTGTTTCTAATGCTTAAGAAGTGGACATATAAGTAAACAATGCTTATCTAGAATAAAATGTTTTAAATGCGGTTGACATCATCATTCTGCACTATGTATTGATACACAGAACTTTAACTTACAAAATCAAGCTGTTGGACAATTGACTTCAATTACAGAGGCTACTTCTGAAGGGTATCAACCTATTTTACTGCAGACTGCATCTGCTCAAGTTTTTGACAACAATGCCAAGTTGCATAGTTGTAGGATCCTCTTTGATAATTGTTTACAGTTGAGTTATGTATCTCCCAATTTACATAAGAAATTAAAACTTCGAACACTGGGTAAAAAAGAAATTATTATAAAAACATTTGGTAACAATAGCACGACAGAAGTTTTGGATAAAGTTGAACTACCAGTTAAATGTTTATTTGGTCGCACAATACAAATAATTTGCTATGTAAAAGAAATATGTTCCCCTCCTGATGGTCAGTATATTAGTGAAGCAAAGCAGAAGTATAGACACTTAAATAGACTTAGGTTAACAGACTATAATTTGAATGGTGATGGTATGAAGGTAGATGTTCTGATTGGGGCTGATTTTTATTGGTCATTTGTTGAAGACAAGATTATTAGAGGATATAAAGATAGTCATCCAATTGCATTGTAATCTAAGCTGTGTTTTTTACTCAGTGGTCCTATTTACATTGATAAACTGAACAACAATTAATCAGGTTGTAATGTCAACACAACTCATGTCATGTTAGTTGATTCAACGAATTCAAAATCATTGGTGAAAGATTTCATGGCATTAATCTGGAGCATAGGAGAATTTGACAATTCCCAATTTGATATCATTGACAATTTTTGACAGACTATTAACTACAATGAGGCCCAAAAGCAATACAGTGTCCGACTACCATTTAGAGAAAATCGCTTTCCTATTTGTGATAATTACAGTTTATGCATTAACCGATTGAAATACTTGCAGAAAAGACTAAGCAAAGACAAAAGACTCCTACAATCATATAACGACATTATGAAAGATCAACTTTTACAAGGAATTATTGAACCAGTACTTGATGAGGCAAAAGATCATGGACAGGTACATTGTTTACCGCATCGACCTGTTTTGAGAAGTGATAAAATTACTAGTAAAGTGAGAATTGTGTTTGACGCTAGTAGCACAGCAGAGGGCCCATCATTAAATGAATGTCTTTCTGCAGGACCTTTATTGACAACTTCCCTCTATGGTGTTTTATTACGCTTTCGTTCTCAAAATATAGCTTACATAGCAGATATAGAAAAAGCTTTTTTACAGATAACATTATCACCCTTGGATCGTGATTATGTACGATTCTTATGGTTTAAAGATCTTAATGGCATTAATTCAAGTAACATTTATACAAAAGAAATAATTTCGTACAGACTTTGTAGAGTATTATTTGGTGTTACATCATCCCCGTTCCTTCTCTCTGCAACACTAAAAAAACATGCTGAGCGATACATAGACAGCGATCTAAATTTTGTTTATAAACTCATGAACTCATTACATGTAGATGACCTTAACGCAGGAGCTGATTCCATATATGCAGCATTCCAATTTTATCAAAAGTGTAAATATCACCTACAAAAAGCAGGTTTCAATTTAAAGAAATTTGAATCAAACTGTAAAGACTGGGAAAATTTAGTAAATAACCAAAACTTTAAATCTCACAACACTACTAAAGTACTAGGTTTGAATTGGAACAAGGAAAAAGACATTTTAACATTTGATCTAGCAAAAGTGTTAACTGAAATAAAAGCCAACAAAAAGAGATATACTTTGATTGATAGCTAGCATCTTCGATCCACTTGGTATCATAAATCCAGTATAAAGATCTTCTTTCAAGAAGTATGCTCAAGTAAGGTAGGATGGGATACTAAGCTAGAAAGTAATTTGTTGGTAGTGCGGAGAAACATTTTTAACGATTTCCATTCCGCTCAAAGCATCATTATTCCAAGGTGGTATACTAGTCATTGTGATAGTACAATCCTAGACATCTCATTACATGGGTTTAGTGACGCCAGTGTAGATGCTTACGGTTGCTGTATCTATTTACTATACTCTCTAAATAATAAGCAACACCATTGTTCACTTGTTACTGCAAAATCCAGAATTACCCCAATAAGGAAAACTAATGTTCCCCGCTTAGAGTTAAGAGCAGCCTTGTTATTAACTGAAACTATGTCTATTGTCGTTAAGAAACTTTCCCCAATTTTTACACTTAAAGACATTATATGTTGGACTGACTCCACTATCGCTTTAAATTGGATAAATAACACTAAAAAAGTTTATCATACCTTTATACAAAAAACGTGTACGCTTAGTTCGAGAAGATTTTGATATTACCCATTAGAAATATGTAGACTCTCGTAATAACCCAGCAGATATAACTTCAAGAGGTACAGACATAGTAGGTTTACAAAATTGTAAACATTGGTTTAATGGACCTTTGTTCCTATGTAACAACCTTAATGATTGGCCAAAATTTGATCTAGTAAATCAACCTATGAATATTGTAGAAGAAATATTAACTAATATTGTTGCAAGTGACACTTCTATTAATTTAAATATGGTTGACATTAAGAAGCTTAACAGCTATACCCTTTTATTACGTGTTACAGCTTTATACGTATTACGGTTCATTAGAATCCTCAAGAAGAAGAAAGCTAAAAAAAGTTTAAAACTATTTCCTCTAGATTTCTCAGAAATTGATTACGCTTTAAAAATTTGGATACAATATACCCAACAAACGATCACCAGTACAAAGAACTATAAACAAATCCAACGTGATCTAAACCTTCGTGAGGTTGATGGTATCATACGTTGCTATGGGCGTCTAGAAAATACCCCGATACCATCAGATATGAAGTACCTCATCTTCTTGCCACGCGATTCAGAATTTACTGATTTAGTTATTTACTACCATCACTCGATAGTCATGCATAGCGGTATAAAAGAAACATTAAACCAGCTACGCAGTAGGTTTTGGGTACCGAAAGCGAGAAATTACATCAAGAAACTTATTCGGAAATGTCACTTATGCAAACGTTTTGAAGGGCTGCCTAACTCTTACCCCAGAGCACCCCCTTTACCATTAAGCAGACTAAATGATGACTATGCCTTTAAATTTACAGGTGTGGACTATGCAGGCCCTTTATACATTAAAAAAATATATGAGAGCCATGATTTATTCAAAACTTGGATTTTTTTATATACCTGTTGTACTACACGCTCTTTATTTTTAGATCTAGTTCCTGATTCTTCAGCTGAATCTTGTGTTCGTAGTTTACGACGGTTTATAGCAAAACGAGGAGCACCTGTGGAAATTACTTCCGACAATGGCTCACATTTTATCTCTAAAGTCACTCAAGACTTTATATCATCTCGTATGATATAAAGTCTTGAGTGACTTTAGAGATAAAATGTGAATATCTTGGCATTTCAACCCTCCCGCTGCACCGTGGTGAGGAGGATTCTTCGAAAGACTTGTTGCTTCAACAAAACGCTGAAGAGCTTTTAACTATATAAGCCGAAGTTGAAGCTGTCGTCAACAATCGTCCGATCACATTTCATACAATAAACCTGGAGACACCCCATTGACGCCAAATCATTTATTATATGAGAGGACATTTAACTTTTTAGCAATTGAAGATGACAATATAGAATGTAACTTAAATGCACGCAGCGCATACATTAGTAACGTTCTAAATAACTATTGGAAGCGATGGAGAGATGAATATGTTACTGAGCTAAAAGAATATCACAAACATATTAAAGGAAAGGGAACAAATCAAATTGCAATAAACGACGTGGTATTAGTACACGATCCTAATTTTAAACGATGGTTAAGGAAAACGGGAATTGTTCAAAGACTAATCAAATCACATCATAATCAAATACGAATAGCAGAAGTTAAGTATATTAGAATGGAAAAGAAATTATCATTCAAAGACCTATTAATAGGCTCTACTTTTTAGAAGGTTCGCTTCGAATGTCGAACGAAAAAATAATTAACGTGAAGTTCTGCAATGAAAATGACATTAAACTCTTTTTAAATAATTAGATAAGTGGGGAATGTCGCGCGTGATCGCGCACGTGTTAAACCTTTTTACGGTTCTTGTTATATTTTAATTCACGAGGTCCTATGTTTATTTAAAAAAAGAAAAAGAGCCGCGTCTGAGAAACGTGTGTCACTTGTAAATGTATTAAAATATATTATTTCTTAAAACAAGATTTCCTTTAAAATACAAACTAATTGTAATGTATCCAAGCAAATACAGCACTATATAAATCATTTTTTAATTTTAATACAAACTAATTTTTTTTTTAACTTTGTTGCGCTTAACCGTTTATATATAAACAATGTATATATATGCTATTTGTACATATATGCTATTTGTTTATATATATATTTTTTATAAAACTTTAAAAAATCCACTCATCTAGCGTTTTATTTAGGATCGTATGTAATATAAGTATACTTATATTACATACGATTCTAATAACTACAAGTTTTTTTTGCTTAAGCTGTTTTGTTTTTTGGTTTTTGTAGTTATGTTATTGTATTTAAAAAAATTGACAAGATTAAAAAAACACGAAATATATTGTCACTTCCGATTGGAAAACTTCAAACTTCAACTTTAGATTTGTTCCTGTCTCAATAATTTCTGATTTCTAAAGTTATATCATCTGCTTCTTAGACCTTTAAAAATGATATTATATTTATTTCAGTTTTTTATAAAAACTCTATCTATTAAAGATATATGGAATATATTTTTATGGGATATATTCTAATAAAGACAAAAGGAGCCATCTATAAAGGACGTTGTCCAAATAAGGAGAAGGGGGAGGGGTTTGGGATAAAAATGATAAAGAAGAACAAGAAGAGGGGGGAGTATGTCAGAAAAAGACTTCACTTTATAGATTTTTTATTTTAGTTTAACTAATATGAAAAAATATGTAAATATATGTTTTTAAGAAGATAATGTATAAGAATACTTTTAATTTTATTTTTGAAAAGTGTAGAAGCAGATTTAAATGTTATTGGCAGATCAAATAATTTTTTTGAGAGTTTAATTTGGTTGGGGGGGGGGAAGAAGATTTTATGACGCCCTTTTCAAAGGAGTATAAGGAAAAAGAACAACTAGTGATAAAGGGGGAGGGGGCAAAAATCGGCTCAAAGTGATGACGTCCTTTATAAATGGCTGCAAAACTATTCTGATGATATTAAAACGCTAATTAAATATTATAAATAGTCGCTAATTAAAACGCTTATTAAATATTATAAATAGTATAATTACGTCATTTTCAAGGTTTTTTTATTTAAAAGTAGTATCTAGGCTTTTCTACGCGCAGTTTTATATTCCACGCGGTCGTTCAAGCAAGATCTGCATACAAATTTGAGTTGTTGATTAGAGTTGATATTTTTTTATTATTATTCACGAAGAGTTGATGTTGTTTATTTATTTATCAATGTTTTATTTGTTCTTGATTTTTTTTGTTTGTTCTTCTTTTCTTTTTTTAGTAGAAGTTTTTAAAAAATAAAAAATGACTGGTAAAGTAGTTTTTTTAGTACATTATATTTTTATAACAGTGATTGTTTTTAGAACAACTATTGTTTTATTTTTCAAAACAATTCGAATCAATAGAAGACCTATTTAGTAATTTTAATTCATTTTATTATCTATATTTTATTTTTTGTTTGAAGAAGGATTAATGAGAATAAAATTTTTTACTAACTAAATTATCAGATTAGTTTCAAGTAGGAATACCAATTTGTCTAATAGCAATTGTTTTAATTTATTGTTTAACAATTACGTTATTAAATTAACAAATATATTTTTATTAAAGATTGTTTTTGTTTTGATTTTATTGCTTAATATTTATTTTTTAGACCGACAGATAGATCTCAGTTTGTTAATTTTGTAGATTTGAAAGCAGTTAGCTTCTTTTTTATCTTATATATTTTCATTGAAATAGCATTATATCGTTATATTAGGCAATTATACATTTTTTTATTTAGGTATTTTTTCAGCAACTTTTACAAATGGTGATGTCTTTTATTTTATTAAGCAAGAAAAGAGATTTATTTGAACATTTAATGTTTATTTAAACATTACTTATTATTTATTTTTTATTTGAACATTACATTTTTTCCCTTTCGTACTTTTGTCGATCAACTGGACGAGCTAGAATTGTTTGTGACTATATTCACAATCATAAATATACTTCTGAGACCTCTAGAGACTCGAGTGAAAGAAATTTTTTTTCAATCGTATTGTTCCAATTTGGAACAACTTATCGTTTAATGTCATAGTTAAACTTTAAAAAAATTCTTGCTGAACTTTATTATGTGAATTAAGATTTCAAATTGTAGTTTTTTAAACTTGCTACTAAAGTGAATTATCACTTAGTAGGCATTTGCTCACCGGAGCAATTAAATAAATAAACATATAAAAATTCGCAGAGTGAAGACTTTAATTCGTTGATAGATTTTATTCGATGATTCGTATATTTCAACTCTACTTAAGGTCACATGCATCTAATGAATACATGTGCAAATTTTAACTCGTTATGACTTGTCAGAGTGTTTTTATGACGCTTTGATATTAGACGTGTTATCATAATTTAATCATGGATAAAATTTAACATTGAGCAGTAATAAAAAATTTAGTAAAAAACCGTTTTATGGCAATGGAAACTTTTAGTGAAACAGTTAATGTGTTAGGGGACGCTGCTCCATCTAAGACAATGGTCTATAAGTGGGCATTAAAATTTAAACGTGGTCGCACGAG